GGGCGGGCCCCGGCCCCGCGTGGGGTTCCTACCATCGCCGCCAAGGGCCGAGGCGCCCATGGGTTTTTGCCTTGGCCCGAGCGCGCGAATGTCCACAATGATTTTGGGCATGGAAACGCCAAGTTCAAACGCCAATCAGCATGGCAGCAGCGCGCCGTTCGCATTGAATGTCGCGGCGTTGTCGTTGACTGACCGTCGAGCAGTTTCCGCTTTCAGTTCGCGCGTCATTTGACGGTCCAAGTGGTCTAAAGTTCCTCATGTGGGGGGCGGGGGGTGTTTTTCATGTGTTCATCCACGGACGGGCGGAGCAGGCCAGCCCTGTCAACGGCCTGCGCGCCGGGGTTTGCCTCCCTCGCGCCCGCGCAAGCCGTGCACCAAGGGCCATTCTTGCCTAGGGTCGCTCCTGCGTGCAGCTGGCCCACGCCCTCTGTCGCTCGTTGTGGGTGTGGTCCTTGGTAGCCTCCGCCGATCCTTGGGGTTTTTAACGCTTCCGGCCACGGTCATTCTTCCGGAGTCCCTCCCGGAGGCCAGCCGAGAGTCCCTCCGAGAGGCTCTCCAGGAGGCCTGCGACTTCGGGAAACTTCCCGAGACTCTGCGGGTAGTCCACGGCTTGGTCTCGGCACTCCCCGCGCCGCCTCCCGCAGCGGCGCTGGGGCGCCGAGGTTGGCGCCCTGGACTGCCTCTGTGCGCAAACCCCGAGCCTTTCCCGACGGAAGAGCAGCGGAGGGTGTCAGTGCCTCGCCCGTCGCGGAGGCCCCTGCTGGGGGGAAGAGGGGGGAGGGGAGGGGGGAGGGGAGGGGGGAGGGAAGGGCGAGGGAGGGGGATGGGCGATGAACGAGGGAGGACGAGGAGGATTATGAACAGGGGGGGCGAGGAGGTTCGGATCGGTTCGGTCGTCCTCGAAGGCGCGAGTGGAGCTCGCGACTGCTGGGCGGATGGCGCTTCCCAGGGAAACGCCAGCCGAGGAGAAGGAGGAGAAGGAGGAGGAGGAGGAGGAAAACCAGTTGTAAACTCAAAGCTCACCAACGATGTTCCATCAACGATGTTGGAATCCACCTTTTCTGCGAACTCCTTCTTCAGAGGCCCCTGCGAGGGTTCATTTCCACTGTGGAAATTGCCACGTCCGGGGGGAAAAGTGTGAGAATGCCGAAGCGTGCGAAAACACCATTTTGAGGACTCCAGCACCACGAAATAATATGATTGTTGCGCCTTTGCCCCTGGCGTTCCCGAGTTGCTCCAGACGGTGCTTTCTGGTCCAGTAACCATTAGAAGCAGTGAATGTTTTTTTCGCCAGAATGTGTGCAACGCTCAGGCGCGAACCGCATTTCGAAAAGGAGCCGCCCTCAATCCGTGAAACTCTTTTAACACTGAAAACGAATGTGGGCGGCGTTGAGGCAAGAGCTACAGTTTGAAAGCGACCCGTTTTCAATCCGTGAAGCTCTTGCATTTTTTGAAACGAATGTGTGCAGTGCCAAGGCGAGATCCACATGTTGAAAAACGACCCACCCTCAATCCGCTAGACTCTTGCACATTCACGAATGTGCACGGCGCTAAGGCGAGAACCACATTTTGAAAACGATCCGCCTTCAATCCGTGAAGCTCTTGCAGTTTTTGAAAGTGGATGTGCGCCGCCCTAAGGCGAGAACCACATTTTGAAAAGCACCCGCTTTCGATTTGTGAAACCGTTGCCAGTTTAAGTGGCAGGCTCATCGATGGTAAGGAAGTCTCAGGCGAAACGGCCGGCCCGCACTTCTGACTGGCCTTGGGTGCGACACGGAGGAGTTATTCATGAGGAAAAGGAGTGGAGGAGGAGGAGGAGGAGGAGGAGGAGGAGGAGGAGGAGGAGGAGGAGGAGGAGGAGGAGGAGGAAGGAGGTGGTGGTGGTGAGGAGGAGGAGGAGGAGGGAGGAGGAGGAAGAAAAAGTGGTGGTGGTGGTGGTGGCGGAAGAGCAGGAGGAGGAGGCGGAGGAGGAGGAGGAGGAGGAGGAGGAGGAGGAGGAGGAGGAGGAGGAGGAGGAGGAGGAGGAGGAGGAGGAGGAGGAGGAGAGGGAGAAGGGAGAAGGGAGAAGGGAGGAGAGGGAGGAGGGAGGAGGGAGGAGCGAGGAGGGAGCATGAGGAGGTGGAGGGAGGAGGGAGGAGGGAGGAAATCGTTCCGGTCCTCTAGTCGGGCCGCCAGAGCACCCTCCTGCTGCTGCCTCGCCCGGGAGCGGCATTTGGCGCCTCCCTGACGAGGCGGGCTCCCCTCCCCCAGCACGCGTGGGGCTCGATGTGCGGGATCCTGGGCTGCTCGCCGCCCCACCAGGACCTGCGGCGGATCCTCTGTAGTGTGCACGCCCCTTGCGTCATTTGTGGCCATGCACCTCCTGGCAACACCCTGAGTTCATTGCTCCTGGATGCGAGCGCTTCTCACATCCCTGTACTTCACGACTCCGTGCGATGCACGCCCGCGTTCTGGCATACACGTTCAAGAATTTCAGGCCTGAGCGTGTTACGTCCCCCCTTCCGCGCGCCCGCTCTCCTCCCTCGCCTATTGCTAGGCCCTGTGTCCCTCGGCTGCCTACGAACGCGACGTGGATCCTCGCTGCTGCGACTAACGTGTTTACGTCTGCGTGTTCTTTCTCCCATCTCGCCAAGAACTCACAACATATGCACAGGCACGATCCTGTGGAGATCTGCGCGGATGTCTTGGGCTGGCGCCGGTCTCCCATGTCCACACTCACGGCGGCGCCTCTGGTGCCGCTCCCAGTGCGCTCCGCGCGCTGGAGAAGGGGTGGGGAGAGGGGTGGGGGGCCACCGCCGACCCAAGAAATCTGCGCGGACCTCCGTGAGTTTCTGCTTATGCTTCTGTGTGCGGGCCTTCGTTCATTTCGGCCTCCGCGTGCCGTTTCTGCCCACCAGGATCGTCAAGCAACGGTTAGAGATCAGACATATGACCTCAGGGAACGGGTCGACAATGTAGGCGCAGGTTTCATGTTCCATCCCTTGCGAGAAGTCAGTGGCCCTTGTTTATGGGGCGAAGAAGATATTCGTCGGGATGCGCTCGGCATGAGACGCTCAACACTTGGCCTGCCAAAGCCATGCCATCACACATGGCCCTGCTCCTTGATGTCTTGCTCCTGGTCGCCTTTCATGAATACGCCCACTTGCTCTTTTTGCGCTTCTATGCCTGGTGCTCCCCCATGGGGCAGAGCGGACTTCTATGACGTGCTCTGGCCGCAGCAGGTGACGAGGCTGCAGCAGACGCTGGCGTCCCTGGCCAACTTTGACAAGAGGAACCGAATACTGAAGCCCAGCCATGACAACGATGGAGTCGCAAATTAAAGGGGGGACGTGGTGGACGGGCTGCCGCGAAAACGTGGCGACCACGCCCAAAGAAGAAATGGTTTGAAGAGGTGAGTTTGGCATCGCCAGCTGCTTCGGGCAGTTCCATGAGCTTGATGCTCCGTTGCCAGCGTTTGTTCGTGGCCGTCTGGCCCTGTGGCACCAGAAGAGGGGGGAGATGGTAAGTTTTGGTGTCGCCCCAGACCCTGACAAATGGAGGTCCTTGGATTCCCCCAGAAGCTTCCAGTTGCGCAGAAGGAGCCCCCAAACCCTTTCCCTTTGATTCTCGTGGGTTGACGACATCATTGAGGAGGAAAGGGAGCACCGCAGTATTGCGCCGCATCAGCGCGGCAGCAACGCTTGCGCAGGCGTTCAAAGCTGAAGGGCACAAGCTGTCTGAACAATGTCAGTATTGCATGATTTTCTGTTGTCGGACAGCGGGGGTCGCTTCAGGTTGAAAGATATAGACGGTGTCAGAAACCAACGTCAGCGTCACGGCAGGAACCCGCCGTACCCCCTCCGCCGATGTCGCGATATTCATCCGCCGCGGGCGACGCGCTGGCCGTCCCTTCTCGGCGGTGCGGTGAATGGATCCCGCAGACGGCAATCCCCACCAAGCCGCAGTGTGCTGGATTCGGTCAGGCACTTGATCAGCGTCCCCGACGCCCTCCCCTACCCCCTGCCCGACGCCCTCCCCGACGCCCGTCCCGACGCCCTTCCCTACTCCCAGCCCCGCACCCAGCACCACTCCCGCACCAATCCAGCACGATGGTCCCGACAACCACGGCCCGGCCCGGCGCTCCCTCCGCCTGCGCCGCCTGGTCCGGGTCGGCGCCGTAGTGTCCGTGGCCTCGTCGCGGGTGGCCCTTCTCACCGGGCCCCTTGCCCAGCACGCCTGATTGCGGTTTAGGGGGCCTTTTGCGAACCCTACCCCCGCCCCCCACGATTTCAGAGGGGGAGGGGGTAGGGTTCGCAAGTGGCCCCCTACGGTTGCCCCCCCCCCCCCCCCTCCCTCCTCGTCTTCCCCCTCTCCTCTCCCTCTCTCCCCTCCTGCTCACTGCCTGCTGTCTTCGCCCTCCCGCCTCCTGGCCCTGGCCTCCCGCCTGCGCGTTTTTCGTCGTCGTCTGCCTGCGTTTCCCTTCCCCTCCCCTCAAGTTTAAGTCGGGCCCGTCCCTCTACAGGAGGAATATTCAAAAATAGCCAAAGAATCGTGTGGAGACTATCGTGTGGAGTTTTTTTTTTTTTTTTTTTTTTTTTTTTTTTTTTTTTTTTTTTTTTTTTTTTTTTTTTTTTTTTTTTTTTTTTTTTTTTTTTTTTTTTTTTTGTTTTTTTTTATATATATATATATATATGTTAAAAATAGTATTAAAAACAAAATCGTCGAAAATCCCCCTGTAGGGGGACACGCCCGACTTAACCCCAAGTCGACGTGTCGTTTGGGCCCTCGAATATGGAGCGAGAGGGGATCGAAGCGAATGAATGTGTTCCTGTTCTGGACCGTAGACAACCGTTCCATATGAGGCAGTGCTTTCTCTGAATCCCTTTCAACGTTTTCTCCGTAGCGCAGGGATCGACCACTAGCATTGAACTCCCTCTTGGATTGCAATGCCGACCGCATGTGTCGTCGCAGGGCGGCGCAGGCGGAGTGGCGGCAACTGCGGTCCAACCTCGCGCCCTCTG